TTGTAAAACAATTGTTACTAAAGCAACATATTGTGTACAAAACACTAAATTTTATATACTGTATAATAAGTAATATTTTACTTATTGCTTGACAAAAAATCTAGATTAACATGACTTTTAGTAATTTAATTTTATAATTAATTAATTCTTATGACACAAAAGTGTTGAGCATTCTATGCATAATATGTATGACATATTGTTATTTGATTTAATTATGAATTAATTTTAATGATTTTGTTGTTTTGTTTCAATGGTGTCTATCATTGAAATTAATTATAAAATTAATTATAATTAAGAAAATTTAACGACAGCTTTAATATTGTTTAAACTTTTGATTTTTCTTAGAAAACATTAAAAATTTTTGTTTGTTTTTACTATTCGTTTAACTATTTTAAGTAAACCAAAGTCTGCTTTTAGAAAACAATTAATTAAATTTAATAAAATAATTGTTTAATAAGTTTAGATAAATGTATTAATAATTGTAAAACATTTTTAAAAATTGAATTAAAAGCAAATTTAATTTTGTAATGACTTTACAATACAATACAAACCAATGGACAACAGATGTCTCTCCAATGATCACTGAATCGACAACTGTTTTGACACGAGTTTTGAATTGAAAACAACCAAATTGTTTGTCAACAACACGTGACCACAAACTCAAGACAAGACAATTGGTCACATCCGTTGGTCATCACTGTCTGCGGGCCAATACATGGCATGTGTTTGTGTGCTATCACTCGATGGCTGACCGCAGGACCAGTGGATGTGAGTGGAGATCATTGGCCACAGTCTACGACCCCATAAGAGTGGGCAGTATTGATGGCACCGACTCTTCGCCGCACGACAGGGCTTTGATCCGTGCCATCCATGTATGTCATTGTTGTCTCGTGTTTCATATCACCGTCTAATTGGTCCCGTAATCCTTGTCTTCGTTTCAGTCCAAACATATGATCGACAGATCCATCAAAAGTGATCCCAAGAAGACACTCTTTGTCTCCCGACTTGACTTCAATACTACCGAAGAGACCATTCATAAGGTTTTTAATGATTTTATTGATAATTACTTTTTAGATAGAGATTTAAAATTGCATTCATTTTATTAATTGATTTAATTATTAGTTTTTGGATATGATTTGAATAATAATATATAATTTAAATACATGTCTAATCCTTTAAATCAATTAATCATTTGCTATATTAATAGATTTTAATCGTCAGACTATTCGCAGAAATGTATTTATTTATTGCTTTTATTTTAATATTAAATTTTATTAATATTTTTCATATTTTATTCAAATTTTCATCATTTTTCAGATCAAATCCAAAAAACAAGAAAAATTAAATTAATTTTTTATAACATATTTTAACAAATAATTAACTGATAATTATTATAATATTATATGAATTGAAAGCACTTTTCAAAGTACGGATCGATAGTAAGCCTGCGTTTAGTGCGGGATATCGTGACCGGACTCTCGAAAGGATACGCTTTCGTCGAATTCAAGCGCTCGAAGACTGTC